TAATGTACTACATGTAATTCTTGAAACTCCAATTTGGCTTATTGAAAACTGCTCTTATTACCAGTCAATAATTAAATTTAGAGAAAATGTTATTACAATTAAACTGCCAGCACAGTATGCATGCACTGAACTAAAATGATGTGTGAAATAACATGGTGTCCGTATCCAGCCTTTATTCATATGTATCACGACACCTAATTGTAACAGATTACAAAATGTGCGGTTCCAAGAAAATAATGTGACTGGCAGCTCTCACCTGGCTTGACAGATGTCTGAAGAGCACTGCACTAGAATCACAGAGGACATGAGTTTAAATCCAATCCAACCTGAATTTTTTTAGGCCTTATTGTTGCAACTGCTTTAGTTGCATGCAAAACTGTGATTATCTCTCATGTCTTTGAATCTTTCTCCTGCAGTTCAATTTATCATATTTCATGCATTTACTTGCAAACACAGCACCCTAATTAATAAGCTGGAATCAAACATAAATACCTTGTCTTTCAGTCCAAAGTGAAGATGCGGAAGCATATGTAGACAGGGTGATAACAATGTTACACTTGAGGGCAAAATGCTTAGTTCACCTTTCTTTGTTTTTCCTGTTAAAAATAAACCAGTTGGACATTCTAAGGATATAGCAGTTTCCTTAAGGCTTTGATGTAGTGTAATCACCCAGTTGAGGGTAGTTCTGAAAAGAAGAACCCTCTACTCCCTAAAACACTGCACCAGTATCGCCAAGATCATGGCTTCAAACCCTGGTCAAGCCTGAATTTCAATTTTTTTCAGGCTTTAATTCCACAACTGCTTAAGTTGCCTCTTTTTTCTCCTCTTCCTTTTTGTACTCTTCTACTTCTTTTCCATTGCTTGAAGTGATTTTCAGACCTTTAGGAGTCATAAAATCAAGATCTGTAGGTCATTTGGTGTGTAAGAATGAAGTTTTCATTATCAACATTTTCATAGTCATACATACAAAATTAATGTATTAACCTGGTTTTCCCTTAACTCCGATGATGTCACCTCGTCGTATTTTATTGTGCACTTCTGTAAAATCCTGTTCTGAGGCTCTAGCATCTGCCATAACTTGAATCTTAACTCCTTCTCCTCGTAAATCATAGAATATCAGCTTAGCGCCAGATAAACGTTTTGCATGGACCCTTCCTGGATCAAAGAAATTAGAAGGAATAAATAATAAAAGAATAATGAAAGACAATTTTCATAACATGGTAAAATACAAATTAATTGCAGCATTAGCTTCTCAGTGATCCCCTCTCTCCCCTTCCCTCCCCTCCCCTCTCTTTCCTGTTGTAGTGTTTCCTTTTTCTTTGTTCTGACTGACAGTTGTAAGGATGTTCTTTTTAATCACTCAAGGACAACAAGGACAACATTATTAATGCATCATGATTTTAACTTTGAGACTACAGCACATTGAAGAGCTCACTTTTCACAAAGGAAAAAAAAAATTAAATTTGGAAACTAACCACTAACAGTAACTACGTCCTCTGCCCAAGTCCCATCTGCAACGTCTTTGTATTTTTCAATGAATTCCACTAACGAAGTTGACACATGAAATTTATGAGGGTAAGGCGATTCAGTGCCAGCCTTGAGCGCCTGAACAGCTTGGCTTCGAATTTTATAGTATTGCTGTAGATGATAAGATCAAAGTAACACCAACATTAAAAGTTGCTTTCAATAAGCATTTCTGCCGTTGTGATAAATTTCTAAATCTAGCTCAAAGGAAGGAGGAGGAATACTTGAGGATATGCGTAATGGAGATTATTTTTAGGTATATACAAAACTGGTGATTAGGGTGGTTTAGGGGCAATAAATGCTCCAGGTTGAATTTCTTGGAGAGTGCTGCACTCTTTGGGAGGGGAGAGTGGGATGGTAGTGTATGGTGGTACTCTGAATCTGTAAGTGTAGCAGACCTGCCAATCCTCTTAGCCTCCTTTTGCTAAGAGACTCCAGACTTCATTTTTGCTTTCCAGGTTCCCCAAGCAAAAACCAATTATGGTTGTTCATATCAGGGAGAGGGGATGACTGATCCACAATAATAATAATAATAATTGTATCTATAAAAAAATTCTTGATTGTCATTGGTTCTCTGTGCACCTATTTGTCCCGGAATTGGTGCGTGATCATGTGGGTGTCCAATTACAGGTACCCAATTTGAATGTTTTGTTACTGGATACCCATTATTGGATACCCACGTGATTTGCGCGTCAATTACGCCTGCTTTAATGGCTTCCTTAGCAATGTTTCCTACAGTTTTCAAAACTTATGAAAAGCACTACAGACATTTTTCCTCAAAAGAACTTCCCAAATGACATGTTTAATTCCGAAATTTGTTATAAATGCGATTAATTAGTACTTGGACCTCACGTTGTACAATTCAAGGAGTAATCGTGCTCGTATTTTCAAATTGGCCTCGCACTTCTTGCTCGTCCTATTTTGAAATTACCCACGCAATTACTCCCTGAATTGCACTCCACTAATTCCAATTATCCAATAATAATAGGAATTTTGGAGGCAGGGATAGGGGAGTTGAATAAGTTAAGAAATTTTCACTGGGGTTACATTTGAATGTATAATATCTTAACTGCTTCAGTTATACCTCCCCAATTGTTTTCCTTGAGTGTTTCACCCTAAATTGAATTGGAGCAGAACGCTACGGGTGCTGACCAAACAAGGATTATCCTATACCCAGGGGACTTCCGTGGGCGGAATTAATAAATGATGCAATGCTATCGCAATATAAGACTTTAGCTTACGTACACTAAACAATAAATTTTCTTTGAATAGCCGGCACAAATAATGTCGCACTAAATATACTTATCTACAGATGCAGTTCTTCGTTATTTCGGGTGAGTCGTAAGATCGAATAATAAAATATCATGAGAACGGAAGTGAGCAATAAAAAAAATTAGGACCAAGGTCAGGTTTAAGCTTTTAAACACGAAAACTCGAAAGGAATTTCCTCTTACATTCGGATCCAAAGATTCTTCGTCCAATTCATCCTTCTTTTTGTTCTCGGAAGCTGGAGTGCTCTGCGCCTGGGAAATCAAAGACTTTCATTGAGTAAAATTAAACAAACATTAAGCACGTGCGTGAATCAAGAGTGATTTTCAAAGACATAGTGTACCTTCTGTGACTGTTTGGCTTCCTTTTCTTTGGCTTTCTGCTCCGCTTTGAGCCTCCTCTTTAGCTCGCTGTTATCCACGAAGAAAAGAATACATTCACCAAATTGTCTAGAACAAATGTCACTAATTAAAACGAAAAAATAAACTTACTTCTTGCTGATCTTTTCTTCGCCACCGGCGTCCGCCATCTTACTACACGAAAGGAAGCCCTGCTGTGTCCTGAATTCTGCCCTCTGATTGGTCGACAGTTGGTTAAGCCGCCAAAGCGCACGCGTAGTTCGTGCAAAAATCACCCGCGAAAACATGCTCGCGATTCCGTGAAAATCGTGAAGGCAGCACACCTTTCTGCCGTCCGATTAAGCCTCATTGTAACTTAATTCACTCTCCTTGCATATCTCGGCTTTATTTCTAAGCATCAACGTCCAGCTTTAGTCCACATGGGCGCGATTTCCTTCTCAAACAGCCACCGTAGCTTTACCTCTTCCTTGTAGCACCAGATCTCGCTGTCGAATGATTATTCATACCCAGACCTCAAACTGATGCGAAGTGTTGCTGATTTTAGTTAGGGAGGGGCCAGTGGAGTAGAAAGGTCTAGCAAAGGCTTGTTTTAAATTAGTTACCAACTCCCCAGTGCTTTTTTTCTACTCCGGTTATTTAGCAGTTTGGCCAGGCAACACTTTTAAACATTAGCTTGTATAATAATAAGAAAATGGGAGGAATCCTGACAAGGGACAGCCGTTGTGAAATGGAAAAATATAGTTTACTATTGCACAGGGGAGGGGTGGGGGGAGGGGAGCCATGCCTGGACAATAGCATGAAATTTTAGGGGAATTCAGAATTGTATGCTAAAACAAATGTCGCACATGAAAATCTTCCTCTTATTCTCTGTCATTTATTTTAATATCACTATTGAAGAAATCACATATTTTTGTCTTTCAAAAACTGTGGGGGTAATTAATTTAATTTCCATTCATGACAAGCTTCAGGGAAAACATACCATACCCCTTCATTGGAAAGGTTTTGACTCCCTCCCACCCCCTCTGGGGATACTGCATTTCATAGGCCTAGGGTCAGTTTGTTCTGCAGTTATTTGCTTTTCTTATGCAAGCAGCATGACAAATAGTGCATGTGCTGTCAGGGGATTATGACATAGTTACAGAACATTAATCATCTCAATGAAGCCAGTGTCCACAGAATTTTTTTTACTACAAGTGATGAGAGTATGCAAGAGCAAGAGCAGCCATGAAGCAGGTGCAAAAAATTTAAATGTCTGTGGATTTTCTTTAATAAAAAAGAATGCAGTTTTTAGTCCCCACCCCTGTGACATCATCTTATCATTATCACCTCTGCCTTTGCTACCTAAATTAAATTGAGCAGTATCTGAAAGGATCAAAATACACAACATGCAACAATTCTCTCCTCCACAGAGGCTCCATAGGGGAGGGGGAGGTGAAATGTGAGTGGGAA